GTTTCCTGTGTGACTGGTTTCTGTCTGTGTGCAGGAGGAAGGAGACTCGAGCTTCTACTGCGAGCTGTGTGACAAACAGTATGAGAGACACCAGCAGTACGACAACCCACATCAACTCCTACGACCACCACCACAGGCAGGTGAGTCACACCTGAACCACTTCATCCTGTTAGTCAGAGAGGGAAGAGTGCACACATCCTTTCCTCAAGTAGAAGTACACACATCCTTTCCTCAAGTAGAAGTACACACATCCTTTCCTCAAGTAGAAGTACACACATCCTTTACTCAAGTAGAAGTACACACATCCTTTCCTCAAGTAGAAGTACACACATCCTTTCCTCAAGTAGAAGTACACACATCCTTTACTCAAGTAGAAGTACACACATCCTTTCCTCAAGTAGAAGTACACACATCCTTTCCTCAAGTAGAAGTACACACATCCTTTCACTCAAGTAGAAGTACACACATCCTTACTCAAGTAGAAGTACACACATCCTTACTCAAGTAGAAGTACACACATCCTTTCCTCAAGTAAGTACACACATCCTTTCCTCAAGTAGAAGTACACACATCCTTTACTCAAGTAGAAGTACACACATCCTTTACTCAAGTAGAAGTACACACATCCTTTCCTCAAGTAGAAGTACACACATCCTTTACTCAAGTAGAAGTACACACATCCTTCACTCAAGTAGAAGTACACACATCCTTTACTCAAGTAGAAGTACACACATCCTTTACTCAAGTAGAAGTACACACATCCTTTACTCAAGTAGAAGTACACACATCCTTTACTCAAGTAGAAGTACAGATACTCGTGTTTAAAAATACTCTGGTAAAAGTAGAAGTACTGACTGAACTTCTTTACTCAAGTCAAAGTAAGAGGCTTTGAAATGTACTTCAGTAAAAAGTACCCATAACTAGCAGCTGCTTTAAAGAGTACCTGACCTCCCTTTATATTAATAGAACAATAATGTCATTGTTAGCTAATGAATGTTTCCATGCTGAACAACGGCAACATGACAACGTTTCCATTGGTCCCTCTTCTTTAGAGAAGACCAGGAAATGATGGATACACGGATCGTGTTCAAATCAATAGGCACGCAATGACTCTAAAGAATAATGATCACGCACCAAACACACATTCAGACTAAAGGAACCAGCTGTTTGGAAAATGAGAGAAGTAGAAAGTACAAGTATTTGAGTTCAACATGTAAGAAGTAGAAAGTACAGGTATTTGAGTTCAAAGTGTAAGAAGTAGAAAGTACAGGTATTTGAGTTCAACATGTAAGAAGTAGAAAGTACAGGTATTTGAGTTCAAAGTGTAAGAAGTAGAAAGTACAGGTATTTGAGTTCAACATGTGAGAAGTAGAAAGTACAGGTATTTGTGTTCAACATGTGAGAAGTAGAAAGTACAGGTATTTGTGTTCAACATGTAAGAAGTAGAAAGTACAGGTATTTGGGTTCAACATGTAAGAAGTAGAAAGTACAGGTATGTGTTATTTTAAAATTGAGTTCAACATGTAAGAAGTAGAAAGTACAGGTATTTGGGTTCAACATGTGAGAAGTAGAAAGTACAGGTATTTGTGTTCAACATGTGAGAAGTAGAAAGTACAGGTATTTGGTTCAACATGTAAGAAGTAGAAGTACAGGTATTTGGGTTCAACATGTAAGAAGTAGAAAGTACAGGTATTTGGGTTTCAACATGTAAGAAGTAGAAAGTACAGGTATTTGGGTTCAACATGTAAGAAGTAGAAAGTACAGGTATTTGGGTTCAACATGTAAGAAGTAGAAAGTACAGGTATTTGGGTTCAACATGTAAGAAGTAGAAAGTACAGGTATTTGTGTTCAACATGTAAGAAGTAGAAAGTACAGGTATTTGTGGTTCAACATGTAAAGAAGTAGAAAGTACAGGTATTTGGTTCAACATGTAAGAAGTAGAAAGTACAGGTATTTGTGTTCAACATGTAAGAAGTAGAAAGTACAGGTATGGTTCAACTCATGTGAAAGTTAGAAAGTACAGGTATTTGTGTTCAACATGTAAGAAGTAGAAAGTACAGGTATTTGAGTTCAACATGTAAGAAGTAGAAAGTACAGGTATTTGGGTTCAACATGTGAGAAGTAGAAAGTACATGTATTTGAGTTCAACATGTGAGAAGTAGAAAGTACAGGTATTTGTGTTCAACATGTAAGAAGTAGAAAGTACAGGTATTTGTGTTCAACATGTAAGAAGTAGAAAGTACAGGTATTTGTGTTCAACATGTAAGAAGTAGAAAGTACAGGTATTTGTGTTCAACATGTAAGAAGCCAAAGTAAAAGTGGTCAGAAAAATAAGTAGTGGAGTAAAGTACTGATACCAGAAACATGTACTTAGTACAGTAACGAATAATTTGTACTCCACTACTTCCCACCTCTGAGGTATATTTAAACTGAAGTACACTTTTGACCATAACCCTACTACACAACCACATCAACTCCTACGACCACCACCTCAGGCAGGTGAGTCACACCTGAATCACCACGCACTACTCTGATTTATCCAGTTAGCCAGCCACAGGTGGAGAGCAAACAAGTGTGTACTCAAGAAATGTACTAAAGTACACTTTGAGTCTATTTTACTTGTATTTACTCGCACTATTTTAACTATTTTATCCGTTGTATTGTGTTGCACTGTTGGAGGAGCCTGTGACCTCAGATTTTCATTGATATATCTACACTGTTGCTATGTACACAGGACAATAAAAGCCTTGAAATCTTGAAAAAACCCTAACCCTAAAAAAACACTTCTACAACGACCACCTGAACCAGCACCCACAACTCTGATATATCCTGTTAGACACAGAGGTGGAGAGTAACAGGTACATTTACTCAAGAAGTACACCTTTGGCTACCAAGGTACCAACAACTCAAGTTAGGACATATTTTTGCTGTAGTTCCTTTATAGCCCAACATTAGCTGCCTTTAGCTTAGCGGTGGTGACGTGAAGTCATGTGACCGTGCTGTAGTTCCTTTATAGCCCAACATTAGCCTCCTTTAGCTTAGCGGTGGTGACGTGAAGTCATGTGACCGTGCTGTAATTCCTTTATAGCCCAACATTAGCTGCCTTTAGCTTAGCGGTGGTGACGTGAAGTCATGTGACCGTGCTGTAGTTCCTTTATAGCCCAACATTAGCCACCTTTAGCTTAGCGGTGGTGACGTGAAGTCATGTGACCGTGCTGTAGTTCCTTTATAGCCCAACATTAGCCACCTTTAGCTTAGCGGTGGTGACGTGAAGTCATGTGACCGTGCTGTAGTTCCTTTATAGCCCAACATTAGCCACCTTTAGCTTAGCGGTGGTGACGTGAAGTCATGTGACCGTGCTGTAGTTCCTTTATAGCCCAACATTAGCCACCTTTAGCTTAGCGATGGAGACGTGAAGTCATGTGACCGTGTTGTAGTTCCTTTATAGCCCAAAATTAGCCTCCTTTAGCTTAGCGGTGGTGATGTGAAGTCATGTGACCGTGCTGTAGTTCCTTTATAGCCCAACATTAGCCACCTTTAGCTTAGCGGTGGTGACGTGAAGTCATGTGACCGTGCTGTAGTTCCTTTATAGCCCAACATTAGCCTCCTTTAGCTTAGCGGTGGAGACGTGAAGTCATGTGACCGTGCTGTAGTTCCTTTATAGCCCAACATTAGCCTCCTTTAGCTTAGCGGTGGTGACGTGAAGTCATGTGACCGTGCTGTAGTTCCTTTATAGTCCAACATTACCCAACTTTAGCTTAGCAGTGGTGATGTGAAGTCATGTGACCGTGCTGTAGTTCCTTTATAGCCCAACATTAGCCTCCTTTAGCTTAGCGGTGGTGACGTGAAGTCATGTGACCGTGCTGTAGTTCCTTTATAGCCCAACATTAGCCTCCTTTAGCTTAGCGGTGGTGACGTGAAGTCATGTGACCGTGCTGTAGTTCCTTTATAGCCCAACATTAGCCTCCTTTAGCTTAGCGGTGGTGACGTGAAGTCATGTGACCGTGCTGTAGTTCCTTTATAGCCCAACATTAGCCTCCTTTAGCTTAGCGGTGGAGACGTGAAGTCATGTGACCGTGCTGTAGTTCCTTTATAGCCCAACATTAGCCTCCTTTAGCTTAGCGGTGGTGACGTGAAGTCATGTGAACGTGCTGTAGTTCCTTTATAGCCCAACATTACCCAACTTTAGCTTAGCAGTGGTGACATGAAGTCATGTGACCGTGCAGGAACTTAAAGAGCCTGTGACACGAGTTTCCCCCATCATCCAAACCCATCAATTTGAGTAAATATTGTCCCCTTGAAAACCGTTACTGAACTGATTTTGGATATTTGTACTTTGATAACCATTCATCTCAATGTTGACCATTTTCTGGATCTTCTCGGGGATTCTTCAAGTCCCGCCAAATGATGTGTGATGTTATTGCGGGCACAGCGCTGCAGCTGCACCGTTCAGGGTCCCAGCATCTGCATGTAAACGCACGATGGCGCACACAGCAGCAAGCTCAGACAGCGATGACAGTTTAATGTTGAACGTGTCTGAGAGCTCATATGAGGCTGAAGGATCGCTTTATGTTGTATCTGTTAGAAGTTTAGGAATGAGGTGCGTCAATATGGGCGATCATACGGTCATGTAGCCAGTGGTGGAATGGGACTAAAAATCATCCCGGGACTCTCGACCGGCCCACTTCGGTACCGCTAGTAAATTGTCAACGGGGGGAGTGGGGGATGTCAGGGGCGGCGGGTGCTGTAGATAGTAAATGTAAATATGTAAATATTTGTGTCAGTGCATCCTGGTAAAATACAAATATAATGCAATGTCTGTGTCTTTGACATTAGCGCTGCTAGCCACCTGTGCCCTGTACTACGAAGCCAGTTCAACATACCCTGGATATGTTTGAGTAACAAACTAACAACAACAAACTAACAAACGAGATCTCGCTAAGCGGTCCTACGACGCTGGTTATCAACTCGGGAAATCAAGCCAGGGTTTCTCTCTCCAGCTGAGAGCGCGTTCACGTCTAAGACACGAGTGGATCTGACTTTAATTACATTTGACTCAAGTGTTTCGTCAACATAATGTGTTGCTTAAAATAATACTTCTGCATACAGTATGTGACACTGTGAGTGTTGCACGGCCAGA